GGGGTTGGTATTCAGAAAAATCAAGATGGTGAGGCTTTGATCATGTAATCATGGTCATCTTCTTGACGTTTTTGAGGGCCCCCCACTCCATGCCCTTGATTCTGTGCCTTGCTCTCTAACCCAGGAATGTAAGCAAGGGTGGAAAAACTTTGCTCATATATGCTAAGTCCTTGAGAAAGTTACTGGGAGAAAAAAAAAAAAATTGTGGATGGAATGTGCCTTACAAACTTTTTTTTTGTAGAAAGCTATATTCATGTAACCAAAAAGAAAGGGAAATGCTGCTACCGCCCAAATTTTTCAAGTGCCTTGTTGTTTATACATAGCTAAAAAATTTAGAAGGTCTAAAGGAAAAGAAACGGAGGGATGGCTGTCTATTTTTGACCTGGCCTCTCTAGAAATAAATGACATTAGTGGTTAGACTCCAGCATTAGCAACTGATAGGTGCCGCGAAAAGATTAGCTCCATGCTTTGAAAAGCTTCCTTTGGTGATTTCGGAAGGTCAGGTCTCTTAAAGGACCTTGAGGACCCAAATGGTGGTGCAGCTGGTGATACATTTTTCGGATCTGGAAGACAAAAACCAGTTGTGATCATTTCCATATTCCTGGGATTCCAACCATACAAAGGGGACTCTAGATCTATTAGCCGGATTCACAAATCACACATAAGCGAAAGCAAAGCACATCACCATTTAGGAAATGCACAAACCCTGCCACTAGTATCTTCTCGGCCAGGAGTCTGTTCCTTATGTTAGCCTGAGAGCCTAATCAGGTTTCAACCACACTTCCAAAGTGGACAGAACCAGAGTCAGGTCCCCTGGGGATGGGGTTCCAAGCATCCTGAGGAGTAAGAAGGGTTTCTTAACCCCTCCTGATGCAGAATGGATGCTGATGGGTTGTTGAATCCCCATTCTAGTCTGGTGTGATTTCTCAGTCAGTGAAGATAAGTGGCACTTCTAACCATCACAAGCATGAATCTTACTTCAACACTGGCAACAAGACACTGTCCTCCACTATGTATGAATGCAACACGATGCATTTCCTTCCTTCCTTCCTTCCTTCCTTCCTTCCTTCCTTCCTTCCTTCCTTCCGTCCTTCCTTCCTTCCTTCCTTCCTTCCTTCCGTCCTTCCTTCCTTCCTTCCTTCCTTCCTTCCGTCCTTCCTTCCTTCCTTCCTTCCTTCCTTCCGTCCTTCCTTCCTTCCTTCCTTCCTTCCTTCCGTCCTTCCTTCCTTCCTTCCTTCCTTCCTTCCGTCCTTCCTTCCTTCCTTCCTTCCTTCCTTCCGTCCTTCCTTCCTTCCTTCCTTCCTTCCTTCCGTCCTTCCTTCCTTCCTTCCTTCCTTCCTTCCTTCCTTCCTTCCTTCCTTCCTTCCCATCTTGCCCCTTTCCTCACGGCCCTCCATACTCCACACCAAATATGCCCATGGACTGTAACGGAATCTCTTTGTTGGCAGGCAAATGCCTTCTAAGCACTGAGTCTAAAGCTCAGCAACAACTCAATAGGCTTTTTCTAGTGAACTGGACTTTTGGGGGGAAAAATAGTGCCCTGTGCCTCTTCCTAGGGCCAAAAGCCCATTCAGAGATTCACTGCTGAGCGTCTCTGGGAGGATGTGATTTCTCTTTCAGTTGCATGGATAAGTCTAATTTTGTTTTGTTTTTAATCAGCAGATATTCCTTGTATTTTATTTACTAATATTCTTTTTTATGCTCACTTTTCTTCCTCTTCTTCCTCCCCTGCCCCTTAATTTAATTACAGTGTTTTTCTAATATTGTTGAAATATCTCTAGATATAATAGAATCCAGCCAAAATCAAGCCTTTTGGACTGCAATCCTATGCAAATTTAAAAGGTGGCCAATTCCTTTGAGTTCACTGGAGCTTACTTCTGAGTAAGCCCATATGAGATTGCATTGGTCAAGTCCTTTGCTTTCCACTGGAACAGGGAAACATTTCTGCAACTCCTTCCCACAAAAGATGGCTAAACTGCTCAATTTTGGCTGGATTTTAACATATGTTCATAGTGTTTATTCAGTAGAAGCAATCTAGTATAAATATGCATTTATTTAACCTGCGTATCCCTTTTTTAACTATAAAAGAGCAGGAAATTCTGACCCAAGGGTCTCTTTTACTGAACCCGTCCCCTCTGCTTGAAGACTCACAAGATTCACGCCTATCTGGGTGCTCTACGAAGAGGTCTTCTGCCACCCCCACCCCGTGCCCTATCACAAAGCCGTTGGTTTTTGACTGCTGTGGTCAAAATTTGGTTTGTCTGAATGCTACTGCACTTTCTGAAAACAGTGAAAAGAGCCACACGAATATTGGGTTGGAAATCCGATTGAAGGGCAAACGATGCAGTATCTGGGGTTATATTCTCCAGTAAGACTGAACAGTCAGTGCTGGTCTGAAAGAGGAACCAGATGCCCAAAGTGGTATATTTTGATGTGATTAAACACAACTCAGGGATTTCTTTATGACTTCAGAAGACACTCAGCTGCTGGCCTTTGTAAACTTGCTTGAATATATTCAAAATTGATCTGGCAGCCTATATTTGTTGCAAAGCACTCCTACTTCCCCCTACACACTCACACACACTGCCCTGCCTAATTCATTAAACTTGCATTATTATTCAAGTTTAATAATAAACTTTTCATCCATACGCTGTTATTTCTTTATATACCAGCTTTCCCATAGCTGGTGCCCTCCAAAGATGGTTGAACTACAAGTCCCAGAATTGGGCATGCTGGCAGGGGTGCCCACAAGGGGTGGGTATAAAGATGGCAGCCATGCCCGTGTAACTGAAACCCTACCCCTTTTTGACATCCATCAGATCCACACTGCAGATAAAAAAGAGGGCCAGTGGTGTGCTAGTAAATGTTTAGCAAGCAGCTATTACCGGTCATAGCCATTATATTTGCCTTTGGGGCCTCCTCACCCCTCCCCAAATGCCCCTGAAAGTCCGTTGGGCATCTGGGGAATCGCAGCAGTGCGAATCACAAACCCGAGCCTGTAAGTTCAAGACTTTCAGAAAAAAATGAACCAGGCCAGAATTCCACCCTGCTTTAACTTCTATGGAACTTCTGCCGAAACCAAAGTCTTTCTGAAGAATGTATGCACTGAAAAGAACCTGCTCTCTTCATGTAGTCCGAAATGTATTGTAATTATTAACCAAATATAAATTAAAAGGACTCTATATTTATATAGCCTAAGCCTCCTTTGTGTTCTGTTTTGGCCTGCAATGTCCTGGGTGAATTTCTGCAACTCTGACTTGGAACTCACTTTTCAGTAAGTTCAAAGCATTTTCCCCTTTAGGGCAGGGTTCCTCAACCTCAACAACTTTCAGATGGGTGGACTTCAACTCCCAGAATTCCCCAGCCTGCTGGCTGGGGAATTCTGGGAGTTGAAGTCCACCCATCTGAAAGTTGTTGAGGTTGAGGAACTCTGCTTTAAGGGGCCCTCAACAAATCCCATTAAGCATTTTGCCATGGGGCCCCTCTACAAATCCCATTGAAGCTGGGTAAACATACTAAACCCGTCTATAATGCAAGTGCTGTTTTCCCAAATTTGTTTGTTTATTTATTTATTTATTAAACTTGTCCCCGCCCATCTCCCCCCAATGGGGAGGCTCTGGGCAGCTCACAACATATTAAAACAATAAATAGTTATACAATTAAAATCTATAACAGTCCACGTTTACAGAAAGTTCATGATTTATTACTACTATTTCTGTGGTCCTCCATTTCCGAAGACTCTGAGCAGTTCGCAGTACTGTGTTCACGTCAGACAATTAAAAGTAAAAATGTATTAATAATGAATGAATGAATAATCAGTCGATCTGATGTGCCACCGTTCAGGGAAAACTTTTTCTTCTCGTTTTTTGATGCCTTCGAGTCAGTGTTGACTCCTGACGACTACATGGACAAGTCCCTGCAATTTTCTTGGCAACGTTTTTTGGAAGTGGTTTGCCCTGGCCTCCTTCCTCGGGAGGAGAGAGGATGACTGGCTCAAGTCATCCAGTTGGTTTTGTGTGTAAAGCAGGACTAGAAGTCATGACCTCCTGTGTTCTAGCCTTGTGCCTACACCAAACTGGCTCTCAGCAGGATCTTACTCCTCCCCAGATGTGTTTCTGAAGAGCAACATTTTTACAACCATCTGCAAATGTAGAAAGGAGGGGATGGTCTGGATATCTGGGGCTAAGCTGTTCCAAATGGGATCTATCACTGAGAAAGACTCAGCCTGGGGTTCCTTAAGATGTCCTTTGCTTGGTGCAGGGATCTTCTCCAAGATTTTTCTAGCACATCTTAAATCCCACAGTTTTCTGCCATCTAATGGTCATCTGGATTGTTGCAGCCCCAGTATTGTAGCCCTACATTGAGGCCCATCGGAGAACCGCCTTTGATTTTTGAGTGGCATCTTGAGATGTTATTCCCAAAAGTAGGTGGGCAGAAAAAAGAAGCTGACAATACCTGAAGGAAAACGAGCATACACTTACATTTCATCAAAACAAATCACCCTAATACAATTAATCCCCATGCTGTTCATATTTTATTTCTTCTCCCTTATTAAAAATTGCAATTGGGAAGTAACTTTTTGTAGAGAGTTAGGGGACTACGTCCCAAAGCTTTCTCCTTCTCCTTCTCCTTCTCCTTCTCCTTCTCCTTCTCCTTCTCCTTCTCCTTCTCCTTCTCCTTCTCCTTCTCCTCCTCCTCCTCCTCCTCCTCCTCCTCCTTCTCCTTCTTTTTGCTCATAACTTTATTAAATGTTTAAACAAGAAAG